CAACAGGGGGCGGCGGATCGAAGACGCCTACGGCGAATCACCGCCGCCACCTGCCTCTTTGGAAGCGCCTATGTGGCCGAACGTTGAGGCCAGACCTGCCAAGCTATCGGACCACGTGTTCGCCGAATCGGTTTGGAAAGCCTTCGGGGAACACGTGGGCCTCTTGAAGGTCATCTGGGCCGTCTGGATGCCATTTTGACCCTTTCGGGCCTTCTTGGAGGACGTTTTGGAGGGCTCTTGGGCCGTCTGGGAGGCCATCTTGAGCGTTTTGGAGGCCTCTTGGGCAGTCTTGGGGGATCTCTTGGGTCGTCTTGGGCGATCTTTGGGGGCACTTGGGCCGTCTTGGGCCGTCGGAAGGCCGAACAACAAGCAAATGCCACAATCCTTCAAAATCCATTGGGAAATCAATGATTTTGACCTTTTCGGGCCTTCCTGGAGGCCCTCTTGGAGGCCTCTTGGGCCGTCTTGGGCCATCTTAGGTCTGACGCCGTCGGAAGCCGTTTGGGGGGCCTCTCTGGGCCGACTTGGGGCCCTCTTGGAATGCTCCAGGGCCGTCTTGGAGGCCATGTTGGGCGTCAGAAAAGGCCTCCTGGGCCGTCTTGGGGGCCTCTTGGGGCCGTCTTGGGGGCCTCTTGGACCGTCATGGGGCCATCTTGGAGGCCTCTTGGGCGATCTTTGGGCAATCTTCGGGGGCTTTTGGGCCGTCTCGGGCTGTCGGAAGGCCGAAAAGAAGCAAATGTCAAAATCCGTCAAAAACCATAGGAAAATCAATGATGTTGGCCTCTTCGGGCCTTCCTGGAGGCCCTCTTGGGGGCCTCTTCGGCAGTCTTGGGCCAGCTTCGAGCCAACTTCGGCCATCCTGGTGGGTTCCTGGCACGTCTGACGCCGTCGGGAGCCGTCGTGGGGGCCTTTCTGGACGAACTGGGGGCGCGTCGGGGCCGTCTTGGGGCCCTCTTGGGGCCGTCTTCGAGGCCACTTGGGCCGTCATGGGGCCCTCTTGGGGGCATATTGGGCGATCTTGGGTCTCTTGGGTCGTCTTGAGCCGTCGGAATGCAGAGAAGAGGCAAATGCCAAAATCCTTCAAAAACCTAAGGAAAATCAAGGAGTCTGGCCTCGTCGGGACCTCCTGGAGGACCTCTTGGAGGCCTCGTGGGCCGTCTTGGAGCCCAGCTTGAAGCTACCCCCCTCCCCCCTTCCTTGCTACAGGGCGGAGGGGGCTTCAGAAGCCCCCCCCCCTCCCCCCCTTTTCGTGGTCCGGAAAGGGGGGAGGGGGGGCTTCCAAGCTACCCCCCCCCTCCCTCCCTTTAACTGAGCCAGGGTGAGCCCCCCTTCCCTTTGAAGGGGGGGGGGGGCTTCGGAAAGCTACCCCCCCCTCTCCCCTCTCTTCGTGTCCGGAAAGGGGGGGGCTTCCAAAGCTACCCCCCCTCCCTCCTTTTATTTAATAGGAGCATGGGGTGAACCCCCCCTTCCTTTGAAGGGGGGGGGCTTTGGAAATCCCCCAACCCCGTCCCTCCTTGGTTGGCCAAAGGGGGGGGGGGCTTGAAGCCCCCCCCCCCTTCCCCCCTTTGGCCGCCCAGCTCCCGGAGCCATCGCCCTCCCTTTCGCCTCCATGTATTCCCGCCCCTCTCCCTCCTCCTCTTCTTCCTTTTGCCTCCTCCTCTTCCTCGTCCTCCTCATCCTCCTCATAGTCATCATCGTCATCATCATCACCACCATCATCATCATCATCATCATCATCATCATCATCATCATCATCATCATCATCATCATCATCATCATCATCATCACCATCATCATCATCATCATCATCATCATCATCATCATCATCATCGTACTCCCCCGCGGGTCCTTTCCGTTCCTCCTCCTCCTCCTCGGTTTTCCCTTCCTCCTCCATTTTTCCCTCCTCCTCCTCCTCCTCCTCTCATCACATCATCCAATCAATCATCATCCATCATCATCATCATCATCATCAGCATCATTACCTCTTGATTTGGACGCCCTCCTTGTTATCCTCCTCCTCTCCGTTTTCCCATCCTCCTCCTCCTCCTCTTTCCTCCTCCTTCCCTCTCCTCCTCCTCCTCCTCCTCCTCCTCCTCATCCTCCTCCTCCTCCTCCTCCTCCTCCTCCTCTCCTCCTCCTCCCCCCTCCTCCTCCTCCTTCTCCTCCCGCCTTCTCCTCCTCTCCTGTTTTTTCCTCCTCTCCTCCCCCCCATCCCCTCCTCATTCGTCCGCCTCCTCCTCCTCCTCCTTCCTCCTCCTCCTCCTCCTCACTCCTCTTCCTCCTTCTCCTCCTCCTCCTCCTTCTCCTCCTCCTCCTACTCCTCCTCCTTCCCCTCCTCCTCCTCCTCCTCCCCCTCCGCCTCCCCCATCCTCCGCCTCACCCTCCCCCAGCTGGCCGCCGTCTTACACGAACACTGCCAAACCCGACGGGCTGGCGTTCTCCGAATTACATTTCGTGCAACTTTCGGGGGGGAATAGTATTTTTCCCAACCCTCCTTGGTTGGGTATTCGTTTTGAATAGAGCAGTGTGGTCTCCACTTCCTCCTTCCCGTCCCGTCTCCCTCTTGCCTCCTCCTGTCTTGCCTGCGGGGTGTTGCGATCTGTGAAACTGTCGCCACTTTCGAGGCCTGCTGGGGGGCCCAGCACAGTGGGTACCCACCGCGGACTCAAATTAGACCTCGCCATCCCTGGGGGGCTGCGATCTGTGAAACTGTCTCCACTTTCGAGGCCTGCTGGGGGGCCCAGCACAGTGACGCCACACGCAGATTCAAATTAGACCTCGCCATCCCTGGGGGGCTGCGATCTGTGAAACTGTCGCCACTTTCGAAGCCTGCTGGGGGGCCCAGCACAGCGACGCCACGCGCGGACCCAAATTAGACCTCGCCATCCCTGGGGGGCTGCGATCTGTGAAACTGTCGCCACTTTCGAGGCCTGCTGGGGGCCCAGCACAGTGACGCCACGCGCGGACCCACATTTGACCTCGCCATCCCTGGGGGGCTGCGATCTGTGAAACTGTCGCCACTTTCGAGGCCTGCTGGGGGGCCCAGCACAGTGACGCCACGCGCGGACCCAAATTAGACCTCGCCATCCTGGGGGGGCTGCGATCTGCGAAACTGTCGCCAATTTCGAGGCCTCCGGGGGGCCCAGCACAGTGACACCACGGGCGGACCCAAATGAGACCTCGCCATCACTGGGGGGCTGCGATCTGTGAAACTGTTTGCCACTTTCGAGGCCTGCTGGGGGGCCCAGCACAGTGACGCCACGGGCGGACCCAAATTAGACCTCGCCATCCCTGGGGGGCTGCGATCTGAGATCCCCGCTTTCGAAGTGGCTAGGGTTGCTCAGGGATTGCAACGAATCAGCTTTATCTAGTCCTTGTCCTGAAGCCAGTGTCCTGCGATTCTCCCGAATTCCGTCTGCAGGCATATGTAACCCTCGCTCCGTCATCGCCCCTCTTATAAAGTGTCCTAAACTATTTGCGCCCCGCGTTTGCGCAGGGGTTGGGTACGTCGCCAGGGTAATGTTTCGTTCCCGGGCGTTGGCACGGGACGAGTTGAATGATACACTTGCGTTGCAATCGATTGCAATCCATTGGATTGCAAACGATTCGATTGCAATCCATTGGATTGCAATCGATTGGAGTGCAATCGGTTGAATTGCAATCGATTCAATCGATTGGATTGCAGGGGAGGGACAGGACGGAAGGGAGGGAGGGGAGGAGAGGGAGGGGAGGGAGGAGATGGAACGAAGGGTGGGGAGGGAGGGGAGGGAGCGGAGGGAGGTGGGGAGGGGGATTGCAGTGGAATGGAGTGCAATCGATTGCAAGCGATTCGATTGGGATTTTCGATCGTCGATCGTTGATCGTCGATCGTCCATCCTCGATCGTGGATTGTTCATGTTGGATCGTCCATCCTCGATCGTCCATCCTCGATCGTGGATTGTTCCTCGATCGTGGATCGTGGAGGCTCCGGGGGCTGGGCGGCCTAAGGGGGAAGGGGGGGGGGCTGCCAAGCCCCCCCCCCTTTCGGCACAAATGGGGGAGGGGGGGGGGAGTTTCCAAGCAGGGCAGGCTCCAAGGGAGGGGCGGGGTTAGCTAAGCACCCCCCTTCCCATTTGGAAAGGGACGTAGGGGGCGGGGGGTTTTTAGGGGTAGCGTCCGGGGCGGCCAAAGGGGGGGGGAGGGGGTGGGAGCTTCCAGCACCCCCCACCCTTTGCACGAAAGGGGGGGAGGGGGGCGGTTTAGTTTAGTTTCAGCAGGGCAGAGCCCCAAGGGAGGGGGGAGGGTAGCTAAGCACCCTCCCCACCCTTTGGAAAAATGGGGGGGGGGGGGTTAGCTCCGGGGAGGGCCCCAAGGGGGGAGGGGGGGAGTTAGGTAGCTGTTAAACCCCCCCCACCCTTTGCCAAAAAAAGGGGGATGGGGGGGGTGCTTCCAACAAGGGCGGCTCAAGGGAGGTGGGGGGTAGCTTAAGCCTAGCCCCCCCTTGCCTTTGCTCGGGCCCTGTGGGCGCGCTCAGGCAAAGCCATGGCAAGGATATGTTTCGTCATTATTGCTTTCCCGAGGCCACAGCTCATCGCAGGAGCTTGCCTGTGACAGGTCGACTCGTGTAGGACAGACAGCTTGCCTTCCAGGAAAAAAATCTTGGCAATGATGGTGACAGGCACGATGAGGGCGCATCGGGCTGCGAGCAGGATCCTCCTCCTCCTCCTCCTCCTCCTCCTCCTCCTCCTCCTCTCCTCCTCCTCCTCCTCCTCCTCCTCCCGCCTCCTTCCTCCTCCTCCTGCTCCTCCTCCTCCTCATTCCTCCTCCCTATCTCCTCCTCCTTCCTCCTCCTCTTCCTCCCTCCTCCTCCTCCTCCCCTCCTCCTCCTCCCCTCCCCTCCTCCTCCTCCTCCTCCCTCCTCCTCCTCCTCCTCCTCCTCCTCCTCCTCCTCCTCCTCCTCCTCCTCCTCCTCCTCCGCTCTCGCGAGGTGGGTTGGCGGAGCCCCCTGGTCCGGTGCGCAGGTTCCGGTGGCGTCTGCTCGTCTTCCCGCTGGGCACCGAGTGCACCGGGACGCCCCGACAGGCGCCGCGCTCGGCCGAGGTCGGGGGCAGTGACAGGGGGGGGATACTCCAGATTTCGTAATAAAGGGAGGGGGGTCTCATTTCGGGGGGGGATTTCTTCCAGGCTATCTTGGAGGGCCTGGGGGGTCTGGGGACGATGTTTTGGAGGGTTCTCCCACGGGGGAGGTCTGAAATGGCTTGTCTTGGAGGGTCCAGACCCCCTCCCTTTTATTACGAAATCTGGAGTAGGCACTGGGGGGATGCACAGGCCTCGAGTGCATGACATCTCGGCGATGCATCGACGATGCGTCTTTGATACCAGGGCGGCGCGTCGACGACGTGTGGACGACACGTGGGGGCGGTCTGCATCGACGATGTGTCGACGATGCAGGGGCGATGTATCGGCCATGCGAGGTCGATGCATCCCCCCTGTGCCTATCACCCCTTATGGTTGCCTGGTTGCCCTTCAGGAGGATGCCAGATCCGGCGCGGCCAAGTCGGGACAGCAGGGGTATCGGTGTTTTATTAATTGTTTTGCCGATCGGCGCGGGCCCTCGCACCCCAACCCCCCCATGGAGTCGGTCTTGGGTGTTTTGGGGGCGCATGTTTCGAGCAGGTGGGGTTTCCCCATAGGACGCCCTGTTGCAAACAGTCGCGTGAAACAGAGGTCCGGAGCCAGACCCCCCCCCATCCCTCCCCTTCCGCCCAGTGTCGAAACGCCGAATAAGAAAACGTTCCCAAGATTGTCCTACACTGTATTGTCGTGCCTGGGCATTTTGCCTTGGTCGCTGCCCGCCATCAGGGTCTGTCGTCGTCGCCGCCCGTCACCGACGGTCGCCGCCGTCGCTAGCGCCACAGTCCAAACCCCACGAGCACCTTTTAATTGGGTTGTTCAAAAAAGGGCATCGCCTTCGAGGATCGAAGGAGTTGTCATCTCTGCCGCGACAGAAGGCAGCGGAAGGGCGGCGAAAGGTTGGCGGAAGTAAAACGAGGCCGCCTCCGCCGGCGGAAGCCCTCGGCCGGCGGAATGGCGGCGGAAGGTGGCGGAAGTAAGAAATGACCCCCCAAGAGATGAACATGTTTTTGGTTTCAGGGTTTCCGAAACCCGCCAGCTGTAGTAGAGCATGTCCGACAGTCGTTCGGAACGTTTTTGGCGTTCGCTTGAGCTCTGCCTGAGATCTGCCAGCTTCAAGCCATCTCTCCAGGCGGGAAGAGTCAGGGGGAAGCAGAAGCGAGCTACAGGCAGTCCTGTGAAGTCGTTTCGGATTTCCCTACGCTGGCGCCTCGACAGGAACGCAGACTGTTAGAATCGGGTATAGCCAGGACCCCAGGTACTCGGAGGCGCTGGCCTCATCTACAAATGTGAGGCCGGCGCGTTCTGGGAAGCAGCCTCCTTCTAAGAAGCCCTCCCCCCTCCCCTCCACTCCCGTGTGCGCACCGCCAGAAGGAGCAAAGAATAGCGAGACAGGCACGCAACCACAGTCGAGCTTGACTAGTAGGTCGACCCTGCCAAATCTAGGGTACCCTTTGTGTCCTGTGTTTCGCGACCCATGCATTTACATTCCAATGGCAACGTGGCCCTGGGCAGGGTCTCGTGTCCTCTCGCGTGTCCTCTCCAAGCAAACCCGATTGTATCCCGGACCGCCGGCCGCATGGAGGATCGATCTTCGGGGAGCTGGCAGGCGGTGGATATGGATGCATTCGGGCCCTAGGGGGGGGGGCCCACCACGTCCATATCCACCGCCTCCCGAGGTCCCCCGAGATCGATCCCCCAGGCGCTGGGGTTATGGATGAATCCCAAGTGACCTCAAGCGGTCCTCTGCAATCAACTCCGACTGTACCAGCCACCGTGTTCGGCCGCCTATGGCGCCATGCGGCGCTTCCCCGCCCTTCTCTGCCCGACGGCGCGGCTCGTCGACCCGGGAGGGAGGGGAGCCGCGGTGAGAGCCCGCTTATCGCCGCGCCCCCCCGGCTCCTCTCCCTCCCCACTCTCCCCATCCCCTCTTCGGTGGCAACGATAGGGGGGGATAGGCATAGGGAGGGATGCATCGACCCCCAATCGCCCATTGGTCGCCGATAGGGGCCCGACAGCCCCAGCCTGCCCAGGAAGGTGCGGATTCACTGTCAGAGGCCTATCGCCGATCTACGGGTGATGTATCGCCGATTCCAGGTCGATGCATCCCCCCTTATGCCAGTCCCCCCCTATCGTTGACCATCACCTCTTCTCCTCACGGGCAGAACAATCCCGCTTCCCCCCCCCGCGATGAGGCGAACGTTATCTGATTCGGCGTTTCGAGATTGGGCGGAAGGGGAGAGGGGGGGGGGTTTGGCTCGTGATCTGTGATTCATGCGCTTGTTTGCAACATTGCGTCCTACGTGGGAGTCTCCACCTGCTCGAAACAGACGCCAAAAAAGCAGCCAAGACCTACTCCAGGGGGCGGGGATGGGGTCGGAGATGGGGTGCGAGGGCCCGCGCCGATCGGCAAAGCAGTGAATAAGATGATACCGAAGAGAAGCCCCAATCAGAATCTTTTTGGAGGGTTATAGGAGCTGTAGGGCTATGGGGCTAGAGGGCTAGAGGGCTATAGGGCTATCGGGCTATCGGGCTATCGGGCTATTGGGCTGTTGGGGTATAGGGCTAGAGGGCTATAGGGCTACAAATTATTGGGCTATGAGGCTAATGGGCTACAGGGCTATCGGGCTATAGGGCTAGAGGGCTACAGGGCTACAGGGCTAGAGGTCTAGAGGGCTAGAGGGCTAGATGGCTAGAGGTCTAGAGGGCTAGAGGGCTACAGGGAAAGAGGGCCATATGGCTAGAGCGCTAGAGGGCTAGAGGGCTGTAGGGTTACTGGGCGGTTGGGCTACAGGGCTATTGGGCTACAGGGCTATTGGGCTATTGGCCGTATAGGGCTATTGGGCTATGGGGCTATTGGCCGTATAGGGCTATAGGGTTAGGGCTATAGGGCTATGCAGTTATGGGGCTGTATGGCCATATAGGGCCATAGGGCTATATGGCTATAGTGTTATAGGGCTATAAGGCTATAGGGCTGTAGGGCCCCCGGGCAACCGGGCACTTGGGCCCCCGGGCCCCCGAGCGGACCGCCGAAACCAACGACGGAGCTCCCAGGCACCCAGGCACCCGGGCACCCGGGCACCCTGGCGGGCCTCCGAAATCGGCGGCGCAGCTAACCTTTCCATTTGAATCCGATAGGACCCCTACAGAGGTAAGCTCTGATTGGGGAAAAACGATCACGAGCAGGAGGAAGAGGAGGGGGAGGAGGAGGAGGAGGAGGAGGGATTTTTCTGCTCTGGAGTGCCCCAGGATCCCTTCCAGAATCCTCTCCAGCCACTGTTGGCCCCAGGGGGTCTTAGGTGTCTTCTGGTGCCGTGCCTGAGGTGGTTGCTGCGGCTGCTTGGTTTCAGAGGCTGTCCCGTGGGTGCACGAGGAAGGTTTCGGGTGAAGAGTGTTGGTCAGGGGCAACATCTGCGGGGGATGGGCTCAGGGGGGGGGGTGCGTCGACCCCCGCTCGCCCATCCATCACCGACAGGGGTTGATAGCCCACACCGCCCAGGAAAATGCGGATTCACTATCGTGGCTCGCCGATTCCAGGTCGATGCTTCCCCTCACCCACTCCATTCTTCCTTCCTCCCTTGCGATTCCCCTCTCCCCCCTTCTCCCTCGCCATCCCCTCGCTGTCGGCGTAGCTTCCGACGTTCCCATTTGAGACAAGCAAGTCGCCCGCCCAGCAGCGGCTGCTGTCAGATTGGGGCAACATCCGTTGTTGGGCATCGTGCCCATGTTTCCCGACCCATCTCGGGAGTGTCAAGCGGCAGCTCGCAGTGCTGGCAGGCGGAGGTGTGGCCCCGTAGTCTCTCCCCAGTTGGTGTGCGGGGGGGGGATACGCTGGCGGTAGTGGTGCGTACGGCCCGGCGCGTTGGTTCATCAGGCGATCGCAACATGGATCAAGGGGGCGCGGACCAGCGACGGGCCCCGTGTCCATGAGAAATCGCGGATCTCCGCCGCCGAGCGAGGCGGCATTGGCCGCATTTTGGGGAGAGCACTTCCCCCGATCTATGGATTTGGCGACCGCGCGCCAAATCCATGGATCGCTCATCCATGTTTGCGCGCCCCCGAGTTTAGCGTGTCGTTCCGCTGGTTCTGGCCCACCACACTTCGGCGCGACATGCTAACCACGCCCCAGCCCCCAGGCGTCAACGTCCCGATAGCGCTCGCGGGGGCGGTGCTGCTGCTCGTCGTCAGGGTTGTCACAGTGGTGTTGCCTGGGGCCTCCTGGGGCATCCTTGGGCCTCCTTGGGCGTACTGTGGCCTCATGGGCCTCCTTGGGCCTCCTCGGAGTCTCCTGTGGCCTCCTGGGGCCTCCTTGGGCCTCCTTGGGCCTCGTGGAGCCAGGGCCGCTGCCGCGACACACTAAGCAAGGGTTCCTGACCGTGTTGTCTTGTGCCTGCCCAGGTTCCTCCTCCCCGTGTCCTTGGACTTCGGCTCGCTGGCCACCGTCAGTGGCCCCCGAGTCCTCCTCCCAGGGTAAGTCGGGCGCGTCCCTCTACAAGGGGAAGATCCAAAAGTAGCCACACACACACACACACAAAAAAAATGAGGGGGACGATTTTTGACTATGTTGGACTAAGTTTGAATCTGTTTTTGTTCGCCTAAAATCCGCCTGTATGGGGGGCATGCCCGACATAATCCCAGGGTTCCTCTGCGAGCAGGCACGGCGCAAGCGGGGGCGACTGGAAACGGTCTCATGATCGCAGCGCCGACCTGGCGCTCGAAATGCGCTTCACGATTGCCAAGACGGGAAATTTAAGTCGTGCCCTGTCGGACGAAGAGAGGTAGAAGAGAAAGTGTTCCTGCATCGGGGGGCGTCTCGAGGCGACTGGCAGGTCTACGCCCCCACGCTGGCACGCCAAGGTATAAACTTCCCAGCAGGCTTGGGGGAGGCGCCCCCGATGGCGGAACACATAGTTTTGTGTTGCTGCTCGTCTGCTGGATGCCCAGGGCATCGCTGGAAGACGGGCTCGGCGGGCCAGCCCCACGGCAGGTGGCGGCCTTCGTGGAGGTCGTCCCCGACGCGGACGTCGTCTCCACCTGGAAGCTGAAGCACGTGAAGTATTCGATCACGGTGGTGAACTGGCGCGACGAGAGGCGTCGCGCGGAGGGCAGGCGGGAGAGGACGGATCTGGGCCGGGCGTGAGCGAAAGAAGAGCGAGAGGGAGGTGCGCAGACCCCTTGCCTGTGTGGCAGAAGTGCTTGCGCACCCGAACGATCGGCCACCTTGCGTGGCAACCCCGGTCGCATTTTGGCCTGGCTCGGCACGGGTCTCCGCGGCGGCATGCCTGAAAGAAGAGCTTCGGGCGCCAGCCTGTGGTACTGTCTCGGCCGCAGCAGAGCGAATCGGTTGGCTTCTTAGGTTTGTAATGGCATGCGTGGTGCGGGGGATAGTTGACCTGGGAGAGGGAAGCAGAGGGCAGGTCAACGGTGACCGACATGGCGGGACGAGCAGCAGTGAGTGGTAATCTGGGCCCCTCCCTTGTGGTAGGCTAAGCGTGACCAAGGAACACGTGGTGGACTTCTCCGCCTCCGAGGTCGACAGCGGCTGGCACCGGGGCTGGGTACGCAGGGATGGCAATCGAGATGTCATATGTCCGGGGGCGAGCACGGGCACTCGCACGGTTTAGAGCATCACAGGGGCCACGGGTCCCAGCCTGGGTAGTCTTAAGGATTAGCCGATGCCGGGCGGGATGCTGCCAGCGGGCGAAGCACTGGTGGGTCCGCGGAGCCGGACAAAGACGGGTTTGCGAGGGATTTGGACGCGTCTGCTAGAACCGCGTCGAAATCCACGCTGCCGCGACCCCATTGCATTACAGACAGCATGCTGCACACTATCTTTCGCTCTCCTCTCTCGCTCTCTCTTTTCTGTCTTTTTTTTTTCTCTCTCTCTCTCTCTCTTCCTCTGGTTCTGCCTTTCTTTCTTTCGCGCGCGCGATTATTCCACTCGCTCTCTCTCTCTCTTTCGCTCTATATCTCTCTCTCTCTCTATCCTCCCTCTGACTCTCTCAAGTAACCTGATGTATAAATTGCAGATACAGACCTATAGATCATGCCTTCCTGACCGTCGTCGAATTAATCCAGTGTTGCGAGTGCGCCCGTCCTGTGGGTCTCTTGGGGCTATTGTAAGCCGACCAGGGGGGCATGTTTGGTCGTCTTTGGGCCCCCTCGGGCCGTCTCGGGCCCATTTGGACCGTCTTGCGGGTATGATGGGGCGGTCTGAAGACCCCTATTGGGCCTTGTTGGGGCTCTCGGTGGTTGTTTTGCGCCCCTCCGGGGTCCTCCTGGGTCGTCTTTGGGCTCTTATGCTATCTTGGATCCCTCTTGAGCCGTCTTGGGCCCCAACTGGTCCCCTCTTGGGGCCCTCTCGGGCGACTTGTGGGCCATGCTTGGGCGAACCTGGTGGCTTCTTGGGCCGTCGTGAAGGCTCTGAAGACCGAGAGGGTCAGAGTCCCGAATGAACGCGGGAAATCAGTGACTGCTGTCTCTTCGGGGCCTCCTGGGTGGGGTGGGGCCCCTGGGCGAATCAAAGTCAGGACGTGGCAAGGGAAGAGGGGATGGGACAAGCTAGGTACGCTCGCGACGTATATGATGCTCAACCCATCCCACCCATTCCTTCCGGTTGGGCTGATTGTTTTTTCTAGTCGCCGACAGGTGTCATTGTGGACCTGGGACCCCCCAAGAGGGCATTTATCATGTTGTGCGCAATCGGAACAGAGGCACTGCGCACATTGAGGGAGGAGGCAGAGGAGGAGGAGGAGGAGGAGGAGGAGGAGGAGGAGGAGGAGGAGGAGGATGTGGTGGTGGTGGGTGAGCAGGAGGATGAGCACGAGAAAGAGGATGATAATGAGGATGAGGACTCGGGAGGAGGAGGAGCAGGAGGCGGAGGAGGAGGAGGACCATTGCAAATCCAGGGCTCATCAGCAATATTGCAATACACCCGCCATCCAAGTTCCCTCCTCACAGGCCCCTGCAAGGTTTCACTGAGGGAACTACCCCGTTGAAAGACAACCGTCTGAAAATCCTGAACTGTGCCCGAACACCTTCCCTGGGACCTGGAACGCCGCGAATCACTGTTATTGTTGCGTCCTGGCGATCCTGAATCGTGCCAGAACGCCGTCCCTGAGATGTCAACACCGCGAGTCGACGTAACTGCTGCGCCCTGACAGTCCGACACCGTGCGGAAACACCATTCCTGAGAAGTTAGCCATGTTAATGTTTGCCATTGCTGCCAACTCTTCAGACGACTGCGCGCGGCGGGCGCCAAGGCGAGAGCCACATGCTTGAAGAGGAACCTGCCTCCATCCATGAAGCTCTTGCAGCCGATTGCAGACGAATGTGCGCGGCGCTAAGGCGAGCGCCACATTTTGAATGCGGCCCGCCCTCCATTCGTGAAGCGTCTGCGTCCTGTTATGACGAATAAGCGCGGCGCTGAGGCGAGAGCCACATTTTGAAAACGACCCACCCTCCTGTCGTGAAGCTCTTGCAACGTGTGAAGACGACTGTGCGCGGCGCTACGGCGAGAGCCGCATTTTGAAACCTTGAAGCTCTTACGAATTCTCAGCGTTGGGATCATGAATGGCGAGGAAGTCTCAGGTAAAACGCCAGGCCTTCCCAACCGACACGCCTCGTGGCGTGACAGGGAGAAGTCATTCATAAGGAGAAGGGATGGCGGAGGAGGAGGAGGAGGTGGAGGAGGAGGAGGAGGAGGAGGAGGAAAAGGGATGGCGGAGGAGGAGGAGGAGGAGGAGGAGGAGGAGGAGGAGGAGAAGGGATGGTGGAGGAGGAGGAGGAGGAGGAGGGGGAGGAGGAGGAGGAGGGGGAGGAGGAGGAGGAGGAGGACGAGGAGGAGGGCTGGCGCCGTGGACACTCCCCGAGGTGCCGCCGGAGACCATGACGTCCTGCCGGGGCCCCAGGTGGCGCGGCGGGTCGGCCGAGCAGAGATCCAGGGGCGGGGCCTCCAAAAACGGGGCGGGGGGGTGTTCGTCCAGGTCTTGGGCCCCGGACACCTTGGGCCAGGGACACCTGTGGCAACACGCGGGGGGGGGCGATCGTTTTTTTGTTATGGATTGGTTTGCCAATCGGCGCCGGCCCCCTCCCCCCCCCTCCACCTCCCCCCATGGAGTAGATCTTGGCAGCTGTGTCTTGGCGCCTTTTCCGGCGGGTGGGGCTGCTGCAAACAGTCGCAGCCAAGCAGAGGTCTGGAGACAGACCTCCCCCCTCCCCCCCCTTCCGCCCAATGTCGAAACGCCGCCAAATAAAACAACGCTCACGTGCTCGTCCAGGCCTTGGGCCCCCGTCGGACCTCGGGAACAGATTCAGCAGTCACATGTTGGGTGCGGGAGGGCGAGGTTTTCTGCCCACCAAACCGACGACGAGGGTCGGACCGGCGATGGGGGCCGAATGGATACATTGTTCGAATGTTTCTTGCGGGGGTGGGCGGTTCCAGGGCGAGGGGCAACCTTCTGGGGAGAGGTCAAGGGCGTGAGCCCACAGTGTCCAGTGACTTCTCCGGGGGAAAATCACAAGAAATCCCAGGGCGGGTTAAGCGCACGGAAAGCCATCCAGGCACGAAAGGCCAAGGCCCCCTGCTGGCTGCCCTTGCCATTCCAGCTGGCCCTACCGTTTCCTCTCGTGCCCGAGGGTGCAGGAGGAGGACGGGAGGGAAGTGCAGACGAAGGGAAGGGACTGGAGGGGAGAGTGGGAGAGGGTGACCCTTCCGCTTGACCCCTCGGACTTGGGGAGGCCAGGGGAGTGCAGCCTGCCGGCGGTCGGGAGATGGCGTTTTCGCCGAGGCCAGGGCTGGCTCAGCGAGAGCGGCGAGCTCTGCTTCCGGGCGCGCTGCTGCGTGAGAGGAGCCACCGCCGTGGGCGTGGACCTCGCGGACACGGAGCGGTGAGGCCTCCGGGCGTGGAGCAAGGCTCGCGGATCTTCAGGCCGTGTGTCAGCCCAATGTGTGTGTTGCCCCGTGCGGCCTGAATCGGCCATGGTTGCACCGCCTGCGTCGTTTTCAAGGGTTCTGGCAGATAAGCACACGTTTGCGCGAACACACGCTCTGAGGCTCATCGAGGGGCACGGGGCCTGGGCGAACAGACCTTGTGAGAACGCGCCTGGTGCGAACAAATTTGCCTGGATCGCAGGGCACCGCCACCGTCCCAGGCGCCTGTCCAGAGCGTCCCATCTGCGGCCACCAGTGGAGGGGTTTCTCCGAAGGGCTTAGGCGACCCGTCCTCCTTCCCTCCTCCTCCTACTCCTCTCCTCCCTGCCCCCTCTTCCTCCTCCTTCTCCTCCTCTCTCCTCCCTCCTTCACTCCTCCTACTCCTCTCCTCCTCCTCCTCCTCTCTCCTCCTCCTCCTCCTCATCCTCCTCCTCCTCCTCCTCCCCCTCTTCCTCCTCCTCCTCCTCCTCCTCGGGTCGCCTACGGCCCCGGGGGAAACCGTGCAGCCACCAGGTGCTCGCGGAACCCGCGGCGGGAGGGGAGGAGCGCTCCGCGGTTCGGGGGGCTCCGAGCTCGCGCTGCAGGACACCCTCCCCTTTGCCGCACAGCCTCGGCAGCTGGCCTGGCGCTCGGACAGGGAGGTGGGCTGGGGGTTGGCACAGCTCGATCTTCGGTTGCTTCCTGTCAGCTCCTCAGGCTTGGAAGGAGGAGGAGGAGGAGGAGGAGACGGAGGAGGAGGAGGAGGAGGAGGAGGAGGAGGAGGAGGAGGAGGAAGTGGAGGAGGAGGAGGAGGAGGAGGAGGTACGGTCGGGTCCATCCTCCTCTTCTGCTCCCTTGCCCTCCCCTGCCTCCTCCCGCCTCTGCTCTAGTACGGTCGGGGGCGTTGGCTCAGCGTGCCACTCCGCCGGCTCTGGCCCACCACGCTTCGGCCCGATTCGGGGCGCGACGCGCGAACCTCGTCCAAATTCCTAATCGTCAACGTGCCGAGCCCTTCCCAGCCCCCCCGCCCCGCGGAGCGGAGGGACGCGCTACCAGCACACAGGCCATAGCTTTGCGGATGTGGCCGCCGCCGCAGCAGGAGTTCCCCACCGCATTATCCTGCCCATGCACCTCCAGGACAGGGAGGAGGAGGAGGACAGGGAGGAGGAGGAGGACAGGGAGGAGGAAGAGGAGGAGGAGGAGGAGGACCAACGGAAACACAAGAGTCATCAAAGATGTTAGAATTGACCCTCCCTCCAAGCTCCCTCTTCATAGGCCCCTACAACGATTCGTTTCCATTGAGGGAACTGCCTCGATGGAAGACAACTGTTTGCGCTAGGGCGAGAGCCACATTTTGAAAACGACCCGCCCTCCATCTGTGAAGCTGTTGGCACTGTAAGCTTCAGAATCATAAATGGTGAGGAAGTCTCTGGCGAAACGCCCCGCCCGCCCTAAAAACTAGCCCCGGGGTGCGACAGGGAGAAGTTATCTGCAAGGAGAAGAAATGGACGAGGAGGACAGGGAGGCGGACAGGGAGGAGGAGGAGGAGGAGGAGGAGGACAGGGAGGAGGAGGAGGAGGAGGAGGAGGAGGAGGACAGGGAGGAGGAGGAGGAGGAGGAGGACAGGGAGGAGGACAGGGAGGAGGGGCGGAGGAGGAGGAGGAGGAGGAGGAGGAGGAGGAAGAGATGGAGGAGGAGGAGGAAGAGGAGGAGGAGGAGGAGGAGGACGAGGATGAGGAGGATGAGGAGGGGGGTGAATTCGAAGCCCCCTAAAGGGGGACCTCGATACATCAGAACGTTCTGGCGCGCTGGGGAGAAGTCTGCGGCCGTGGGCCGAGGCATTCTTCCGTACTCGCCCTCCCCAGAGGTGGAATGTTCAGCGCCCCGGTCCGCAATGCTGGGCCTCCCTGAGATCCGACGTTACAACAAAAAGGTCAACATCGCGACACAGCACGACCGGAGCCATAGGCCGCACCTTTCTGTGCCACGTCTCGAGCTGCATCGCTCTATGAAGGTCCCGCGGCCCGAAACTGGGCGACAACGCCCTTTCTGACAAAGATGCAAATGCTGGGATCTGAGGGTTGGAGGGCCTTGATCCATCGCTGCAATTGCCGACCCGCAGCGCGCCGCCTCGAGGGGGGCATCGCGCAGCCTCCGCGGGGCCTGCCAAACATCAAGGGGAGCGATAGGGGGGGATAGGCACAGGGGGGGATGCATCGACCTCCAATCGCCAATTGATCGCCGATAGGGGCCCAATAGCTCCAAGCTGCCCAGGAACATGCGGATTTACAATCGGGGGCCTATCGCAGACCGGTCGGCGATGTATCGCCAATTCCAGGTCGATGTGTCCCCCTTGATGCCAGTCCCCTCTATCGTTGCCCCTCAAAACATGTCCGTGATCCCGGCCCTGCTCCAGCGGCGCCCAGGCCTGGCGCCGGCGTCGCCGCCGCTGCCGCTGGCGACGACGACGAAGACGAAGACGACGACGACGACGACACAACAACGACGACGACGACGACGATCTCGATCAGCGCCGCCGACGACGACGAAGACGACGACGACGACGACGATGACGAGGACGCGGGAGAGGAGGGGGAGGAGGACAAGGAGGCACTTCTTCGGCATGAAGCAAGAAGAGTGGAGGGAGGAGGGACGTCGTTGTTGTCCGATCGGCTCGCGTCCGCTCTGGGTGCTCAGCGCGCATGGCGCAACTGTGCGACGACGACGAAGACGACGACGACGATAACGACGACGACGACGACCACGACGACGACGACGCTGCCGCTGCCGCCGCCGCCGACGACGACGACAACCACGACGACGACGACGACAACCACGACGACGACGACGACGACGACGCAGACGACGACGACAACAACGACGACGACGACGACGATGACGGCGACGACGACGGCGACGACGCAGACGACGACGGAGACGACGGCGAGTTCATCGAAGACGACGACGACGACGGCGACGACGACGACGAAGCAGACAACGGCGACGAAGAGCACGACGACAACGGCGACGACGAAGACGGCGACGACGACGGCAACGGCCGTTGCGACGACGAGCGGCTGCGCTGAGCGTCGTCGTCGCGCGCACGCCTCCGGCGGCTCCCCGTGCGGGGTGGATCTTCCCGCGCTCCCCGAGCCCTTGCGCGGCCCTGCGGCGCCTCGCCGACGCTTCCCCGCTCCCCTCGCTCTGCTGGTGCAGCCTCGTCCTCGTCCTCGTCCTCGTCGTCCTCCTCCGCCTCCTCCTCCTCCCTCATCCTCTTCCTCGTCGTCCTCCTCCTCCTCCTCCTCCTCCTCCTCCTCCTCCTCCTCCTCCTCCTCCTCTTCCTCCTCCTGTACCTCAGCGGCAACGCGAGGCTCAGGGGGGTGAGCTTGCGGAAGCGCAGCTGTCCTGACGCGCACGTGTTGAGGCACGGTGCGATCCGCGTTCAGAGCGTCCGTAGTCACACGCTGCGTGTTGGCTCGGCACGTTCCGGCCCACGTCTTGGCGAACGTGTCGCGCTGAGCCGACGCTTTCAATCCACGCGCTGAGCTCCTCATCGGCACGCTACGGGTTGCGCGGGGCAGCTAAGTGCGGCAGTTGTTCTAAGGATTCCCATCAGCTGCGCCTCGTCGGGAGCATTCCTGGGGCGCCGGGATCGGGGCGACGGAGGTCGCAGTTGTGGCCCGAAAACCAGGGAGCGGAAGGTCAGGGAGATCGTTAGAGGGGGGATGGGCTCATGGGGGGACGCATCGACTCCCAATCGCAAATTGATCGCCGATGGGGGTATGGTAGCCCATCCCGCCCAGGAAGGTGCGGTCTCAGCATCGGGGGCCCATCGCCGATCCATCGGCGACGTATTGCCGATTACAGTTCGATGTTTCTCCCCCTTAGGCTGGACTCCCCGAACGTTCCATCTCAAGTAGCGGGGCGGCTCTGACGACGTAGAGCATCAGGAGAGCCTCGGGAGAGTCTCCTGGGGGTGTTTTTATGGCGCGTAAACTTGTTTCCGTCACAGGAAAATCATCAGGAGCAAGCCCTCGCATTGTTTTCATAGCCCCGAAATCGCGCAGCGGTTTTGGGGGCAGGAAGATCTCCCAAGGTGACCGGTGCCAAATGGGTGACTTTTCGCTTCCTGGCCTCTTAGCCTTTTGGCAGCCCTCAAAGAATGCGACGTCGGGCGCTTTGAGTTGCAGGCGCAGCTCTCTGCCTGGGTGCCTCCAATAGGGGGCTGCGGCTCGCGCGCCCGAGCGGCCTCACCTCCCGCTCGCCTCCGTCTTCCTCCTCTTCGCTGGCTGGCTGGTTGGTGGCTGGGATGTGCGGTGGAGAGCGCTCCTCGCTGCAGGTGCTCCGATCCGTGTTCAGCACGTGGCAGCAGCGGGGCGACGCCCCGCAGCAGTGAGAATGTCCCGCAGGACGGGAGAGGCACTCCGCAGCGAGGCCGAGCTTCCCGCAGGACGGGAGGCAGCGCTGTGACAGGAAGAGCCCCCGCAGGACGGGAAGGCTTTCCGTCATGGAGCGCGCGGCGCCGCGCTGCCCACAGGATGGGAGGGCTGGCGGCGCCGCAAGCGGCGCAACGTTTGGCCAGGACAGCTCTTCACGTTCTCGTCGCTCGCCTGTGTGCTGCTGCCAGTTCTCTGTGTCTGTTCGCCGGCGCTCCTCGTTGCCACTGCCCGCGCTCTCTCGTTCCACGTTTTGGTGGCAAGGTGTGGGTGAGGCAACCTTACTTGGGCAATGCCAGTGATCCCCTCCTTTGCCAAGGGCGAGGCAACCTTACTTGGGCAATGCTGAATACCCCTGGGCGCGGCTCGGGTGAGGCAACCTC